CATGCTGGAGACTCAGACTTGTGGGGGGAGGGGGGGAAAGGGCATTTATTGAAACCTTAAAATCTGTACCCCCATAATATGCCGAAATAAAAAATAAATAAATAAATAAATACATAAAACAACTTCATTGAAGGGATGGAGGAAAACATGCTGACCTACATATATTTGGACATGTGTGAAGTCTGGAAGACTGAAGGCAAATGCAAATGCACATAGGCACTGTTGATAAGGTTGTGTTCCATGGGGGTACTGGTTAACTATTCTGATATTGCTATACATGCATAATGGAGTGGAACAATTAAGTAAATGGATGACAGATGGTGGGAGCCAGGTTTCTCACTGTTGGAATTTGTAGATAAGTAAAGGGAGGAAGCTAGATTGATCCATGTGGTAATGGTATAGAGTTGGAGACATCAGTATGAACAACTGTTTAACTTACTATAGATATGACTGGTTCCATATAGAAATGTTTATATGTTATATATATGGATTAGTATAAACATATTTTTTGCTCTGTCAGCTGGATAGGGCTCAAATGAAAGGACACCCAAGTAGCAAATAACTTGCTCAGCATCCAGATCTTGGTTTCTAATACGATTCTCTAATAAAAGGAACGAAAGTTCCTTGGAGAAATGGCTGCTTCTAATACTGGAACAGGAAATATACAAGATGAGCCTTCTGTATCTTATTGTACCACAAAGTAAGAAAGTGCTAAAAAATAAAATTATTATGTTGTTCTTTGACATTGTGGGCATATCAAAGAAACATAGAAGCCACATGAAAGAAGTTCCAATGACCAAAGCTGGAACAACTTGTGCAACAAACTAAATAAATTAATCTTGAATAATAATTCAAAGTATAGGATAATTGTCTGTAAGTACAAGTGATGTAAATAAATGATTGAGTAAATAAATGGAGAAGAGATAAATCTCCCATAAAAAACAATTGCATATAATTTATGTAGATACTCTACCTCGAGGAAGGAGAGCATAACTCCCCATTCTTTAGTTTTGAGCTGCTTATAGTAACTCCTTTCCAAAAGAGTACAGTATGAGAATGCAGAAAAAAAAAGAATAACTTTACAGTGGAGAAACCTGATAAACCCTACCTCAACTAGGTGATCAAGGACGACATCAGCAGTTATAAATCATGTTGACTATATGTATGCTTAATATGATGTGATCACAGCTGTACTTTTCAAAACACTGTAGTCTTCTTCCCAATAATCTATAACCCCAGTCTAACCATGAGAAAAATGCCATAAAAATTCTAGTATTGGGCATCCTACAAAATACCTGACCAGTACTCTTCAAAACTGTCAAGATCATTAAAAACAAGGAAAGTCTGACAAACCGATATAACCAAGAAGAGCTTAAAGATACATGACAACTAAATGTAATGTGGTAACCTGCATGGGATCCTGGAACAGGAAAAGGACATTGCGTAAAAACTAAGGAAATCTAAATAAACTATGGGCTTTAGCTAATAATAATGTATCAATATTCATTCATTAATTGTAACAAATGTAAGATATAAGATATCAATAGCTGGAAACTGGGGAGTATATGGCAGCTCTCTATACTATCTTCTCAACTTTTCTATAAATCTAAAACTATTCTTAAAAAATAAAGTTGAAGAGATTATCTTTTTCTTATTATATGTTCTTGGCATACTTATTTATAGAAGATTACTTGACTGTAGATGCATAGATGTATTTCTGGGCTCTGTATTCGGTTCCATTGACCTATGTATGTGTCTGGTTTTATGCCAGTATAATACAGTTATGATTGCTGTAGCTTTGTAATATATTGTGAAATAAGGAAGTGTGCATCCTCTAGCTTTGTTCTTTCTCAAAATTGTTTTGGCTTTTGGCTATTTGACTTTGATAGAGATGCATTAATCACTTTGAATAGTATGGATATCTTAATATTAAGTCTTCTAATCCATAAACAGTGTTCAGTATAACTGTAGGATAATTACAGTTAACAATAATATAATAATAGTTACATAATATAATAATAGTATAGTTATATAATATATAATAACTATATAATAATATAGTTATGTAATAATATATGTGATAGTGCTGCTGCTATTATAAATGGGCATACAGATGTCTCTTCGATATACTGATTTTCTTTCCTTTGAATAAATGTCCAGTAGTGGGATTTATGGATCATATGGTAATTCTATTTGTAGTTTTTTGAGGAACCGTCATACTGTTCTTCATAGTGGCTATACTAGTTTATATTCCCACCAACAATATATAAGAATTCCCTTTTCTCTATAACCTCACCAGCATTTGTTATTTTTTGTCTTTTTGATAATTTTTTGTTATCCTAACTGGAGTGAAAATGAGACATCATTATGGTTTCAATTTCCTTACTCATTACTGGTGTGTTTTGATTTTCTATGTCTATTTTCCATGATTCAATCTTGGTAGATTATATGTTTCTAGGAGTTTATCCATTTCTTCTAGGTTATTCAACTTGTTGATGTATAATTTTTCATAGTACTTTCTTATAATCCTTTTTAATTCTGTGGCATTAGTTGTAGTGTCTCTTCTTCTGTTTCTGATTTTGTTTATTTGAATCCTCTTTTTTTCTTAGTCTAACTAAAGGTTTGTTAATCTTTTTGATCTTTTCAACAAAACCAGATCTTAGTTTTATTGTTTTTTCTATTTTTTTCTATTCTCTATTTTATTTATTTCTGCTGTAATCTTTATTATTTCCTTCCTTTTCCTAACTTTGGTCTTAGTTGATTCTTCTTTTTTCTACTTCCTTGAGGTGTAGAGTTAAGTTGTTTATTTGGGATCTTCTTTTTTAAATATAGTTACTATTGCTATAAAATTCCCTGTTAGTACTGCTTTTTTTGCATCCCATAAGTTTTGGTGTGTTGTATTTTTGTTTTCATTTGTCTCAATATATTTCCTAATATCCCTTTTATTTCTTCTTTGACCCTTTGGTTGTTTAAGAGTGTGTTGTTTAATTTCTACATATTTGTAATTTTCCCATTTTCTTAATTGATTTCTGTTTTTATTCTATTGTGGTCTGAAAAGATACTTAGTTTTATTTCACTCTTTTTTTTTAATTTGTTAAGACTTCTTTTGTGACCCAATGTGTAATCTATCCTGGAGAATGTTCCATATGCACTTAATAAGAATGTATATACTGTTGCTGTTGTATAGAATGTTCTGTATATGTCTGTTAAGTCCATTTGGTCTGTAGTGTTGTTTAAGTCCTCTGTTTCTTTATTGATCTTATGTATGGATGTTCTATCCTTTATTGAAAGTAGGGTATTAAAATTTCCTACTATTATAATGATGCTATCTATATCTCCCTTAAGTTCTATTATTGTTTGTTTCGTATATTTAGGTGTTCTGATGTTAGGTGCATATATATTTATAATTGTTATATCTTCCTGGTGAATTGACCCTTTTATCATTATATAATGTCCTTCTTTGTCCCTTGTGACAGTTTTTTTTTTTACTTAAAGTCTATTTTGTCTGATGTAAGTATGGCTACCCCTTTTCACTTTTGGTTACCTTTTGCATGGAATATCTTTCTGTTCTTTCACTTTCAGATTATGTGTGTCCTTAGATCTAAAGAGAGTCTCTTTTAGACAATATAGAGTTGGATCTTGTCTATTTTATCCATTCAGCCACTCTGTGTCTTTTGGAGAGTTTAATCTATTTATATTTAAGGTAATTATTGATGGCAAAGGACTTACTACTACCATTTATTAATTGTTTTCTGTCTGTCTTATAGCTCTTTTGGTCTCTCCTTCCCTTTTAGCTATATTCCTTTGTGGTTCATTATTTTTTTTGTAGTGGCATGCTTTGATTTCTGTCTCATTTTTCTCTGCATATTGTCTATAGGTATTTTCTTTGTGGCTACCACAGGGCACACATAAAACATCCTATATTTATAACAATCTGTTTTAAACTTATGACAACTTAAGTTCAGTCACACATAAGAGCTCTTTTTGTTCTCTTGAATTTTTATAGCATCCCATTCTTAATAAATAGAATAGTTTCTCTTATTTTTCTGAGGATATTAGTTAAATCATTTGCTTTCTTTTTTGTTTGTTCTCGGTCTTTCACATTAGAGGCTTTCCTCAGGTGCCTAATAGTCCATGCTCAACTTTATTATTAGAGAGTAAAAAGATGATTGGAGGTTTTGAGTACATGAGTGGCCCTTGTTGATTTTTAGCTTCACTTTAAAATGGTGTGGCTGGGCCATTTGTTGGAGGAATTCCCAATCCCAAGTCAATATTTTCATATCTTTCCTCTAGGGGCTATCAGTGTCCCCAAAGAAGACTGTCCAAACTCTCTCTTAGAAGGATAAGAACATTCTAGGAGCCAAGTGGTAGAAAAGGTTTGGGAGGACCTTAGCATTAAGTGTGCATTCTTTCTCTTAGTCTCCTTGCTTTGAGAAACAGTATTCATATCTTCAACTCTGTATGGCACTTTCCATCTTCTGACAATGAACCTCCAGTATTCTACTAGGATTGGCGAGTTGCCTTTACCCAGTAGCATATTGTGGAGGAGGGTATTTAAAAATCAAATTAGGTTTTTAAATAACCTTCAGCTTACCCACCTTATTTTAACCCCATCCCTTCACATGTATTTCCAGTGGTACCTGAAGCTATCATTTCCTAAACTATTTTGAGGATTCTTAAGTGGCGATTGGGTAGGTTCTTGGCTTTCCCCACTGCTAGTTTAAGATTTCATAGCTTTCTTGAATGTGCTGAGTTGGTTCCTAATCATCCAGTTGTTTTCCAGCTTCCTGAGTAGTATTGCTATTGCCTCCTTACCTTGTTCATTTGTGTGTGTTTTTTATTAAGTTCCCATAGTTTTAGGAAGTTTTCTGGATGGAGTGAAATTAAATCAGTATGTTCAATCCACCATTTTTATCTGAAATAAACTAATTCTAACCATAATGAAAGAGTTGCCTTACCTCTGTTATGTGATATTTCTTTTGGTCTTCAATTTGTATTAGGTGTTATACCTGAAGAACCTTAGCCCGCAGGTGACTGAAAAAGATCTGGTCTCATTGTTCGCTCGATTCCAGGAGAAAAAAGGACCTCCAGTTGAATTCCGACTAATGACTGGACGAATGAGGGGGCAGGCTTTCATCACCTTTTCCAGTAAGTAGCTTCATGTAGATAATTACTCAGTTGCAGCCTCAGTTCACTAAGAGACTACCAATAACCTCTCTAATTTAGATATAGTCCTTTGATTTACCCACAGCACATGAGAAGAAGGAAAGTAAGTAAAATATGTTTTTAGTGTTATTCTGTCTCCCTTTCTGTGTTTCCTCTCCTCCATTGAAAGTGCATGACCACTGTACCCTAGTGTCCTCAGTTTTCTCCAGTCTTGGCAGTTCCTTCTTACCCTACCAAAGTCTTTCCATTTGCTGACAATAGTATTTCTAATGTAAGTTATAATTAGATTACTCATTAATTGATATGTTGGTATTCTGATCGAAACACACATATTTGCCTTATGCCCTATTCCTTTAGGACTAAGTGAGTGCAAGCTAATATACTAATTCATAATTAGTGGATGATACATTCTTCTAAATATTGTTTGCATGTTAATGTGTGGCTTCTGTGTTCTAAGCCAAAGGGAAGAATAATGTAGGAATTTCAGTTTCTGTGCTAAACAAAATAATATCTTTTTGGTGGGAAGGCTGGATAGGATCTGTAACTCTCATTGTCCCTAAACTATCATTATTGCTAAACAGCCTACTAATTGATATACAGGCAATTGGTTTTACACACAAGTACTGCCAAACTCCCCTCCACTGCTTTTGTACAGTCTTGTACCATCTTTCCTATCTTACTGACGGTTTGTAAATCCTCTACACCAGTGGTTTTCAATCTTTTCAAGTACTAGAACCCCTTTTAAATTTAAAAAATATTTAGTGGACCTCCCACGTAATCTCCATTAATTGAAAAAATACATAATAAAAAGCTTTATAAACTAAATATTTTTAAATGTATTAGCTGTTTTACTAGTCAAAACAGCAACTCTATACTTTTGAAAATTTATAGTATATACATGTGAAACAAAAATTGATTCAGTCTAAAGACATTGTTTACTTATGATTCCACACAATTCTGGCCATAATCCACCCCCTCCTTGTTTTCTACATCCAGGCACTGAGACCCATAAGGTACATACTCCTGCTGTATGCTATATATTTCATACCTCAAGCTTCCATATGCCTACAAGAGTTCTTAAACTTATTTATCCAAATAAGGGCTTTCAAAACCACTCTCCCACTGAAAGAAAAAGTAGCAAAGAAAAAAATAATTTCTTTCTATTGTCCTCAAGGCATAGGGCAAAAAAAAAAAAAGAAAGAAAACAATAACTTCTTTCATTGTGTTACCCATTTTGAAAATGATCCAGTTCTCACAATACCTATAATTGTTATCTAAGATAGAGGCTTGTGTATAATTAGTAATAGCTTAGACTTCTTTACCATACAGTCTATACCCATGTTTCTTTACCTATATCTTTGAATTAGGAGCTACCCTCAAACATCCATTTTGAGGTTTTTTGTGATTATTTTTAGCATTAATTTAATCTTTCTAAATTATACATATTGGAGATTATAGAAAAGATTATAAAATCAAATAACTATACCATATGGCCTTATAACTTATGTTTAACTCTAAGGCAAAATAACCTAAACTAGACTTGGAATAGAATTGAATTACTAAGCCCTATGTAAACTGATATTTTTTCTTTCTCTCTTAGATAAGGAGATAGCATGCCAAGCATTGCATCTAGTAAATGGATACAAACTACGTGGGAAAATATTGGTGATAGAGTTTGGAAAGAAGAAAAACCAACAATCAGATCTCCAAGCTGCTTCTCTCATACCATGTGCTACAGATGGTACTACAGAAATCAGTGGTAGCTAGAATATATATAGATTGTGGGTCCTAGATGGTCTTTCTTGAATCCGAATCTTGGATCAAGGATTTGTGTACAGATAGCAATTTATTTGGAGTTGAAGAGGAGAAACTAACTGAGAGAGAAAAAAGTAATTGAGACAGTCCCTTTCAGCTTTTGGAGAGAATTGGTAGAAAACAATTTCTATAATCAAAAACTATGGCACAGATAATATACTAAGTATGAAGTGTAATATACAAAAAGTATTGTTTTCTCAGGATAAAATTACAAAAAATTATTACTGGAGATTTTTCAAAATCCTTATAATTTTGCTAGGGTCTTCAATATTTGTCCCTAGAGGTAGCAATCTTTCCAAGACTGCCTCCTATATACAGACCTAAAAAACTAAATAAATGTTGAAATATTTATTCACTAGAGCCCACTTGTCCCTAATTTTATCCACCAAATAAATAAAAAATCAGGACCCCAGGCTTAAGCATCAACAAATGCTGTTAAGTCAGAATTATCAGCAGTAACACCAGGTAGTTTCATAAGTCAGTCAACATATTTAATGAATGCTTTCCCACTAAGTTATCAGAACCTTCAAAAAGCTATATATTTTTCTAATGAAATATTTTAGATCAAAATATTGATATTCTCATGACCATTTAAGCTAGCTACCATTGAGTAGTCATTGAGTTCAAAGCAATAAACATTGAATAAGTGTTTAATATATGTTAAATACTACATATAGGAATTTTACAAGAGGAACATACTAGCAAAGAATATCAAAAAGAAGTGGAAGAAAAAGTTCTCTAGAAGAGAGGAAGCCAGTGTCAAATTCCCCAGTTGTTTGTTTATGGTTACTGGAAAATAAAAAGACAACATAGTATAGAGAAAATGATACAAACTTTGGAGCGAGACCTATATTTGAACCTCATAGCCACATTTAGTACTCCATGACCTTGGCAGGTCACTTAATCTTAGCCTCAGTTTTCTCATCTATAAAGTGAGAATAATCTACTTACCTCATTGGGTTGTGAGGATTAACTGATACGATATTATCCAGGCTGAGGAACAGAAAAATTAAATAATAAAGTCAAGCAGAATATAGGACCTCTGAGACACCATTGAGCACTCTAACATATGTGTAACAGGAGTTCCAGAAAGAGAAGAGAAAAGAAAGGAGCAGAAAAATAGTCCTAGAAATAATGGCCATAAACACCCCAAATTTGGTGAGAAACATTAACGTACATATCCCAGAAGCGCAGCAAATCCCAGGTAGTATAAACAAAAAGAAATCCATAAATACACATATCATAAGAAAAATGCCAAATAAAAATGAACTATCACTTTTCAGGGAACCCCAATATGATTTACAGCTGTTTTCTCTTCAGAAACAATGGTGGTGGCAATAGGATAATATATTAAAAGTGCTCAAAGAAAATAACTGTCAACCAAGAATCATATATACAATAAAGCTAGTTTCTAAAAATAAAGGTGAAATAAAACATTCCCACATAATCAAGAACTGAGAGAATTTGTTGCTGGCAGACCTAACTTATAGGAAATACTAAAGGAAGTTCTTCAGGCTGAAAGCAAGTGACCTCAGATAATAATTTGAATCTAAACATACATAAAAAAGAGCACAGGTAAAGATAATTATATAATTATCAAAGACAATCTATGCATTTTTCTTTCTTAACTAATTTAAAAAGCAGTTGTATAAAATAATATGTATATAGATGCATTGTTTGGCCTATGACATATAAAATGTAATATATTTGTCAATAACAGGACAAAGGAGGTAGGTGGAAGCAAAGCTATATTATACTAAAGAAGTTACTCTAGATGGTAACTCAGATCCACAGGAACAAATGGAGTGAGTAAGAAATGGGAAATAAGATTAACATAAAAAATCTGTAAATACATACTTGCTCTTTTTTTTTGTCTCTGCTTCTTTTAAAGACACAAAATTTTATTAAATAATAATTATAATGTATGTTGGGTTTATAACATAGAGATAATATATATAATATCACAAAAGGGGGGGAAGGAATGAGTTTATATAGGAATAAAGTTTTTATATATCATTGGATATAAGTTAGTATATCTGAAGCCTATTCAGTTTAGTTAAGGTATATATGGTAAGCCCTAGAGCAACCACTAAGGAAATAACTTTAAAAAAATAAAAATATGATTAAAGAAATTTAAGTGCCCCACTAAAAAATACTCAATGTAAAAGAAAACAGGAGGAGGAATGGAGAAATAAACAAAAAAGCCTAAGACAAATAGAAAACAAACAATAAAATTATAGTCATAAATTTTCTAATATCAATAATAATAAATGTGAATGAATTAAACAATTAAATCAAAAGGCAGAGAATGTCAGACTAGAAGAAAAACAAGATTTAACTTTATGCTATTTATTGGAGACATACTTTAGAAGATATTAAATATAAAGAGATTGAAAGTAAAAGGATGGAAAACAAATATATCATGCAAACAGCACCCATAAAAAAGCTGGAGTGGCTATTCTAATATCAGACAAAAAAAGATTTTAAAACCAAAAAAATTACTATAGATAAAGAGTGATATTTTATAATGGTAAAAGTGTCAATCCATAAGGAAGATGTAACAATTATAAATAAGTATGCATCTAACCACAAGACCCCAAAATACATGAAGCAAACACTGATATAAAGGAAAAGAGAAATATACAAGTCTATAAAAAGAGTTGTAATATTTAATACCCCATTTCCAATAATAGAACTACTAGAAGATAAGGAAACAGGGACTCAAATAATATTATAAGTCAAAATTTATCTGAAAGATATCCATAGAACATTCTACCTAATAATATCAGAATATATATTCTTCTCAAGTGAATATGAAACATCTTTAGGTGAGACCATAAGGTAAACCACGAAACAACCCTTAATAAATATAAGTGGACTGAAATCATGCAAAGCATGTTCTCTGACCACATGGAATGAAGTTTGAAATCAATAACAGAAAGTTGGGAAACTCACAAGTATGTAGAAATTAGATACACTTTTACATGACTAACATTTCAAAGAAAAAATCACAAGTGAAATTAGAAAGTCATTTGAGATGAATGAAAATGATGCTACAACATACCAAAACTTATGGAATGCATCTAAAGCAATACTTAGAGGAAAATTTATAGGTATAAATGTCTGTACTTAAAAAGAAGAAATATCATAACAATAACCTCACTTTATTCCTAAAGACCCTGTCAAAAGAAGAGCAAACAACACCTACAGCAAGCAGAAAGAAGGAAATAAAAAAGACTAAATGAGAAATAAAGAGAATATAGAGAAATTATAAAGAAAAATCAATGAATCCAAAAGTTGGTTCTATAAAAAGATGAAAAAAACTGACAAACCTTTTGCTAGATTGACCAGAAAAAACAAGACTCAAATTACTAGAATCAGAAATGAAGGAGGGAACTTTACTACTGACCTTGTAGAAACAAAAAGAATTATAAAGGCCTGTTATGAACAATTGTATGTCATTAAATTAAATAAATTAAATTAAATAGATGAAATGGACAAATTCCTACAAAGACACTACCAAAACCAATTTGAAAAGAAATACAAAATTTGAATAGACCTATAACAAATAGGTTAAATTAGTAATTTAAAAAATACCCACAAAGAAAAGCCCAGGCTCATATGGCTTAGATGAATTCTACTGAACCTTTAAAGAAAAAAAAAATTTTTTTTTCTGAGACAGTCTCACTTTGTTGCCCAGGCTAGAGTGAGTGCTGTGGCCTCAGCCTAGCTCACAGCAACCTCAAACTCCTGGGCTCAAGCAATCCTCCTGCCTCAGCCTCCCAAGTAGCTGGGACTACAGGCATGCGCCACCAGGCCCGGCTAATTTTTTCTATATATATTAGTTGGCCAATTAATTTCTTTCTATTTATAGTAGAGATGGGGTCTCACTCTTGCTCAGGCTGGTTTCGAACTCCTGACCTGGAGCAATCTGCCCGACTCGGCCTCCCAGAGTGCTAGGATTACAGGCGTGAGCCACCACGCCTGGCCTTAAAGAAAAATTAATACAAAATTTTCACAAACTCTTCTAAAAAGTAGAACAGTGAACACTACTGGAACATACTATAATGTAGAAGAACCCTTAGAATATGCTCAGTGTGACCAGGCATGGTGGCTCATGCCTGTCATCCTAGCACTCTCTCTGGTAGGCTGAGGCAGGAGGATCGCTTGAGGCCAGGAGCTAGAGACCAGCCTGAGCAAGAGCAAGATCCCGTCTCTACAAAAAATAGAAAAAATTAGCTGGGGATGTTGGCTCTTGCCTGTAGTCCCTGCTACTAGCTCAGGCAAATAGAGCAAGACTCTGTCTCAAAAGAAAAAAAAAATGCTCAGTGAAAGAAGCCAGTCACAAAAGACTATATATTATATGATTCCATTTATATGAAGTGTTCAGAATTGGTAAATATATATGGACAGAAAATTCATTAGTGATTGCTTAAGGGCTGGGGGAAAGGGTGGGGGGAATGGGAAGGGTGAGTGGTAATAGCTGAAGTACATGGGGTTTCTTTGGGGGTTGATGAAAATGTTCTAAAATTGTGACGATTTCACAACTCTGAATATACTAAAGACCATAAATGGTACAAAAAATAAGTGAAGTATAGTATATGAATTATATATCAATAAAACTGTCACAAAAGTAGGAAATTGGATATAACACAAATATCCATCACTAGGAAAATGGGTATATAACTTACAGCATGTCCATTTAGTAGAATACTATGCAGCCATCAAAATAGCGGAGCATATCTATGAATATATTATGACTTGTACTCATGTCTAAGATTTTATATTAAGTTTTAAAAAGATGCAGAAATATGTATAGTAAATACATTTTTAAGCAAAAACATTGATATATGTATGGTGTATGTGTTTATAGGTATTTCTAAATAACTTTAGGAAAAAGCTAGGAAATATACATACCAAATTGTAGACCTTTTGGACGTGAGATTGAGTATGCTGAAAAGGGACTTTCACTTTCTAAACTTTTTAAATTGGTGTGATTTCGTGTGATTTTTACTGTTTTTAGTATTTTTTAAATTAAAATTTTTAAAAATACTCTGCCAATGGCATGGCTTCCAAAATATTTGTCAGATCTACTCTGAGGATATCATCTGACTATACTCAGGACAAACTCCTATTCCTTCGATATACTTCCTACTTAGGATTAACTCTGCGATTTTAAATATAGTTTAAGTGACAAGAAGTAAATTATCCTGGTATAGCCTCTTGCACATGTTATCCAGGGACATACTTCTAAGCTGGACTTTTCAGAAGGAACTGCTTTCTATTAGGTGGGAAATCAAACCTCTGCCCTTTACTAGACCTACAAACCACTAACAATACAGGAACATAAAATTGAGTATATCCTTCAACTGGTGCATAAAGAAACTGTAGTATATCCATACAATGGAATCCTACTCAGCAATAAAAAGTAATAAAATGTACATGCAACAACTTGGACGAATCTTAAATGCATTTTGCTAAGTAGAAAAAGCCAAACTCAAAAGGCTACTTACTGTTTGATTCCATTTATATGATTTTCAGGAAAAGCAAAACAATAAGGATGGAGGAAAAAAATCAGTGGATGCCAGGGGTTAAAGTGGGATACTCCTTGACTACAAAGGGAGGAGCACAAGGGATTTGTTTTCATATGGAAATTTTCTGTACGTTTATTGTAGTTATATGAATATGCATTTGTTAAAACATAGAATTGTATACCAAAAAAGGATGAATTATACTGTATGTAAATTTTTTAATAAATGTAATTTTAATGGAGGAAAGAAAAACTTGTAGAGACAGTCATTTCCATTAAGTAGTGTTTCTATTTTGTGGTCTTTTGATTACTGTTGAAAATTTAAAGCCATTTTGCTATATGTCCTTATTTTCTGCCCATAGGTCAGCAGAAATCATCTATGTACACATATACACATAAACCCACCATTAAAAAAAAGTCAAAAGGCAAACTGGAAAATACATTTATCACACACAAAGAGCTAATTTCATAACACCCAGTGTATATAATGTTTTAGAATACAAAAGTCAACAATCCAATTAAAAAGTGGGGAAAAGGCCAGGTGCAGTGGGTGGCTCACGCCTATAATCCTAGCACTCTAGGAGGCCGAGGCGGGCGGATCGCTCAAGGTCAGGAGTTCGAAACCAGCCTGAGCAAGAGCAAGACCCCGTCTCTACTAAAAATAGAAAGAAATTAATTGGCCAACTAAAAATATATAGAAAAAAAATTAGCCGGGCATAGTGGCACATGCCTGTCATCCCAGCTACTCAGGAGGCTGAGACGGAAGGATTGCTTGAGCCCAGGAGTTTGAGGTTGCTATGTGCTAGGCTGACGTCATGGCACTCTA